TATCCCTAACACTAACCCTATTGCTAACCCTAGCCCTAACCCTAACCCTATTGAGAGAGGAGTTAGAGTGGGTAGTAGGCAGTTAGGGTATTCTGGGTCCCTGAGTAAAAGAATTTCCCCACCATGTCTTGAACTCACCAGATGCACGTCTCTTCCAAGGGACAGTGGTGCTATTAGCATATCAATTCCCCACCTGAAGTATCGGCCATCCCCTCTGGCCATTGTGGGAGGGCCTCAGGCTGATCTCTTTATCATTGAAAGGAGAGCAGGAAGAGGTAATACACATCTGCCTAAGGCCTGGAATGTCCTATGTCTAGCACCTCTGTGGCCTTTTGTCCCAAGGCCAGGTACCATGGAAACTAGGAATTTTCTTTGTTCATGGAGAAACATCTTTGAGGGAAACCTTTAAAAGGTGCATTCCCCACCATTAATACGGGTTCTTATTTTCCTGCCACTATGGCAGAGCACTGAGGTCCTTTTCCTCCTGCCATAGTGGCAGGAGGTAAGGGTCTTTTCTATCTCAAAACCCCCTCCCGTCGCTAGGACGGGAGTCTACTCTTCTCAACTTTTCTAATAAATCTTGCTTTAAAACTACACTGTGTCCGCATGAAAATTCTTCTTTCCTGCGAGACAAGAATTTGAGGTTGCTGCCATACTCGGAGTCAAAATTCCTGCAACACTATTGCTAACCCTAACCCTATCCCTATCCCTAACCCTAACCCTAACATTAAACATAACCCTAACCTAACCCTATTGCTAACCCTAACCCTAACCCTAACAAACCCTATCCCTATGCCTAACCCTAACCCTATCCCTATCCAAATCCCTAACCCTAACCCTAACACTAGCCCTATCCCTAACCCTATGCCTAACCCTAACGCTAATGCTAACACTAACCCTATCCCTAACCGGGACCCTATCCCTATCGCTAACCCTATCCCTAACCCTAATCATATCCCTAACACAAACACTAACCCCAAGGCCACCACACCAGGCACAATAGCATGAACTCTTTTTTGGATGGTCTTACTTCAAGTAGACAAGAACCCTAACCTTAACCCTAACCCTAACTCTATTTTTTTAAGATTTATTTATTTTTATTGCAATGTCAGATAGAGAGTAGGAGAGACAGAAATATCTTCCATCCGATGATTCACTCCCCAAGTGACAGGAAAGGATGGAACTGCACCAGTCTAAAGCTGGGAACCAGGAACTTCTTCCGGGTCTCCCACACGGGTGCAGGGTGCCAAGTCTTTGGGCCGTCCTCAACTGCTTTCCCAGGCCGCAAGCAGGGAGCTGGATGGGAAGTGGAGCTGCCGGGATGAGAACAGGCGCCCATATGGGATCCCGGTGTGTTCAAGTCTAGGACTTTAGCCACACTAGGCGCAACAGCATGAACTCTTACTTTGGACGGTCTTACTTCAAGGAGAAAATAACCCAGCCATGACCCTAATACTAACCCCAACCCTAACCCTAACCCAGAGCAAGGCTGAAGAGCAAGGCTGAAGAAAGAAAAAGTGGGCAGGGGGCCCAGTGCAACAGCCTCGTGCCTAAACCCTTGTCTTACTGCCTCCTCTTCCTCCTCTGCATTTTTGTTTGTTTTGATGAGGGATTTTTATTTTGTTATTTTACTTATTTTTATTATTATCATTATATGATATAGTTTCATAGGCCCTGGGATTTCCCTTATCTCCTTCCCAATTCCTCCCCTAACTGAGTTTCCCTTTATTATTATTATAGTGTAGTTCTTCATACACAGTCATATGTGCATCGTTGCGGGCATGGACAAAGGCAGAGCGTCCAGCATCGTATTATCAAGATATAGTAAACAGTTTCATTGGGAGTCCATCTTTGATCTGGAAGTAGAGATGCATACTGCATTGCATTCTCACATCTGGATATGACAGTCTCCATTACATAATCACTGTACATCCTACTGAATAAAAAGCCACAAAACATAATCAACAGGAAGGAAAAAAATTAACAATGAATTAACAATGCCATGAAGTTAAATAACATGCTACTGAATGACTAATGTGTCGCTGAAGAAATGAAAATCAAGAACCTTCTTGCAGAAAATGATGCTACTGTTGGATCTATGAGTCACTGAAGAATTTAATCTCAAGAAAATGTTTCGAAGAGATGAAACTAACAAAAAAATACAAAACCATGAAATACAGTTTCTGCTGATCTTAGTTGATGAAATGTGTCTCCTGTAAGCAACACATTGATGGGTTTTTTTTTTTTTTAACCCAGTCTACTAATCTGTGACACTTGATTGATGTATTTAAGCCGTTTACATTCAGGGTTAATACCAATAGGTGGTAGTTTGGTTCGGGGCACTAGCCAAGACTCTAACCAGCTTCCCCATGGGATGGCAGCAGCACAGGTAGAGGCTCAGTCGACTGCACCATCATGCCGGCCACAAGATTTAATTTTTATCTGCTTGAAAGACCATGTGACAAAGAAGGAGAGTCAGAAAGAGATCTTGCACTCATTTGTTTACTCCACAAATAACTGCAACACGCAGGGTGGGCCAGCCTGAAGACAAGCCCCAGGAAGCCCACGCAGGCCTCCCCTGGGGACCGTCATCCACTACCTTCTCATTAGCCGGAAGTCAGATGGCAAAGGCGAGCGGCCAGGATTGGAGCCGATGCTTCAGTTGGGCTGTTGGTAACAGCTTAACCTGCTACCCCACAATGGTACTCCCCTTCTCTCTCTCTCTCTTTTTTTTTTTAAGATCTATTTGTTTTTTATTGGAAAGTCAAATATACAGAGAGGAGGAGAGACAGAGAGGAAGATCGTTTATCTGCTGATCTATTCCCCAAGTACCACAACAGCCAGAGCTGCGCTGATCCGAAGCCAGGAGCCAGGAACCTCCTCCGGGTCTCCCACATGGGTTCAGGGTCCCAAGGTGTTGGGCCATCCTTGACTGCTTTCCCAGGCCACAAGCAGGGAGCTGGATGGGAAGCAGGGCCACCAGGACTCGAACCGGCGCTCATATGGGATCCTGGCACGTGTAAGGTGAGGACTTTAGCCAATAGGCTACTGCGCTGGGCCCTAAAGACTTTTTTTTTTTAACTGGAAAGGCAAATATACAGAGAAGAGATACAGACAGGAAGATCTTCCATCCTCTGGTTCACTCCCCAAGTGGCCACAATGGCCACTTCTTCCGGGTCTCCCATGCAGGTGCAGGGTTCCAAGGCTTTTGGGCCATCCTCGACTGCTTTCCCAGGCCACAAGCAGGGAGCTGGATGGGAAGTGGAGCTGCCAGGATACGAACCGGCATCCACATGAGATCCCGACAGACACAAGATGAAGGTTTAGCCACTAGGCTACCGCACTGGGCCCCCTGCCCTCCTTGGCCCCTTTTCTTTCTTCACCCTTGCTCTCAGCTGACTCCCTGACAACCCCTCAATGCTGTGCTTTTGTCATGTGAACTTCTGAGTGGGGGAGGTCACCTGAGAGAGCAGCCCAAAGAAGGAAGCGGTCTCCAGGACCTGCTTGTTACTGAACAACCCTAGGCCTGCAAAGACCTTCCTTTCAGATAAAGTTCCCTTATTATTTAAACTGCTTTTCATTGTGGGGTCTATTATAGCATCCTAAAATATCATAAAGATGAAAACAGGGACTTTTTCTGATAGGTTTGATCCTTTGCATTATTCATTCGAAAAACAAGAAAAGACAGAACTTTCCCACCCCCTTGTTTTTTCCTCCAATGGCCTCCACAGCCGGGTCTGGATCAGACCAAAGCCAGGAGCGTAGGGGCAGAATGCCATGCAAGCCTCCCACAGCGGAGGCAGGCAGCCAAGTGCCCGAGCCCTCACCTGCCTTTCACATCGCGCAGGCGCAGGAAGCTGGACCAGAAAGCGGGGCTGGGACCCCAACCCAAGCGCTTGAGATGCGAGTTTTCCCAACAAGGGATAAACGTGAGGCACACACCTGCCCCGTGGTAAGCATCTTGGAGGAAGGCTTACAGCACGTTCCGTGGGGCCTCTGGGGGCAGTGCCACTCAGCAGTGTGGTGTCTGGCGCCTAAGGGCGTCGGTCTGGGGGGGTGGTAGGGCGCAGGTATGTGGTTTTAGGAATTCCAACTCCAGGGCTTCCTGCCAAGTGAGTCAGATTCTCTCCAGGTGGAATATCTCCTCAGCCAGTGATTTCTATACAACTCCAGTTGGAGAGGCAGTGCCCTCTGAGCAGCGCGCCCTGCCCATCACGGTAAATGCCACCAGCTCGTGGCTGACCTCCTTCGAGCTGTCTCATCGCTCAAGCCTGCCAACCCGACGATGACCTGGGCGTGGGAGTCCCTGATCCCCACGAGGGGGGACTCGGCCCCTGACAGCTTCTCTTCCCAACAGGGCACACAGCGTCGGTGCGGGCACGGGGGGGGGGGGAAGGGCCTGTCGCCATTTTGCATATCCTGGGGCTGTCGCGGTGGGCAGTCACTGTCCTTATTCATTGAACTCCAAGGCTCCATTTTTTTTTCCCCTCCCGAATTCCTGCCTGAGTCAATGGGAGGAAAAAAAAAAAAAAGGAAACGCACACTCTGCCCTTGTGGCTTGAGGAGGGCCAGCCACTGTGGCAACCTCAGCGACTGACCTCAGCCCTTCCTCCTCCCGCCGCATCCTCCCGCAGCGGCTGCCCAGGCCCTCCATCTGGGAGAGACAAACCAGTGAGCCAGTCGGCAGCCCTTTTTCGGGAGCCTGGTCCTCACGCCAAGCCGCCGGCGCCGCGAGGAGGGGCGGCAGCGCGCCCCCGGCGGGCCACACGCGCGCCTGGCCACTCAGGCGCCGGGCGTGCGCGCGTGCCCGCCCTGCGATTGGGCGAGCGTCCTGCCGATCAAGGCGGGGCCAACGGGAGCTCGGCCAATAGCGGGAGGGAGGCCCGGCGAGGCCAGCGGCCCTGTGGTCTGCGCGGTGGTCGGAGAGTCGCAGGCGTTGGAGGGAACTGCCGCCGCCCGTCCCCGCTTACCCCGGCTCGCTGGCTGCCACCCGGCCCCGCCGGCCGCGTCATGCCAGGCGCTGCGCGGCGCTAAGTGCCCGGCACCGCCGCCCGCCTGCCCGGCCGCCCGCCCGCCCCAAGCCGCGCCCACTCCCCAGAGCCAGAGGGATGGTGGTAGTCACGGGGCCGGAGCCAGACTGCCGTCGCCCGGACGGTGCCATGTCCAGCTCCGACGCCGAGGACGACTTTCTGGAACCGGCCACCCCGACGGCCACGCAGGCGGCTCACGCGCTGCCCCTGCTGCCCCAGGAGGTACCCGGACAGAGGGGAGCGTGCATGGGTGAGAGGGGGGCCGGCGCCAAGAGCGGGGTTGCAGGGCAGAGCTGACCTTGGAAGGTGAGCTGCTCGGGGTTGGATTTCGGGGCGCGGCTATGCTGCCCCGCCTACTCCCTCCCCTCCCGACCGCCCAGGTGTGTCTTCCCCCATCTCAGAGGGCTCGTGGTCCCCCAAGCCCCTCCCCTTCCATGTTGGCCCCTTGTGAGGCTTCAGTGCCTCCATCCCTGTATCCCACCTCTCCTAAGCAGCGGAGGGAGGGCAGCCTGCACAAGGGGGACCCTGAAGCCCCAAGAGGTGATGGTGTCTCCTGGAGACTTCGAGAAGAGAGGCTTTGGTCATTGCCCAAATTGGCCCTCCAGCAGTCCAGAGAAGTGGGACACGGAGCTGTCTACCCTTCCGGAGCAGGTCGGTGGGAGCTGTGTGCACAGCCCAGGGCCCTGCCCTCCTGGCTGCCGGGCTCATGCACTGGCTGGCTGCGCCTGGGCTTGGTCTGGGTGCCCCAGCATGGTCCTGGCTGAAACGACCCTCCAAGAAGAAGGGCAGGTAGACACTGAAGATGGAGCCCAGGAGGGAGGGACTAAGGCAGTGCCCCAGGTGGGAGCCAGTGAAGTGAGAGTGCCCCGGGGGGCATGCGGATAGCTTTCTGTTGGTGCCAGGAGCCCTGGATACCCACACCACCATGGGGCACTTGTGAGAATGGGTAAAATTCTAGACACAGACTGCAGCTGGGGGGAAAAAAAGAGCCATTGAGAGACACAGTAGTGCTATTCTTTTTCTTCTTCTTCTTTCTGTTCGTAGTCCTTGGGGCAACAGTGTGGTTTGAGGGAAAGGGAACAAGGCCCAGAGGTGGCAGACCGTGGCTCTGGTGCCAACTGCTCACCCCCACCCCCCACCCCCCAGTGACCGCATTGCTCTGAGCTTCCTAAACTCTTTGCAGTTACTTCTCCCCACTCTGCTTGAGTCTTCTCGTCTTTCATGCAGACACTTGGGTTTCTGCAAAATGTCTTTGGAAGACAGTGGTTAAAGAATCCCATCAGTGAGAATTCCACCATATTGGAGTCCAGGGCTGTGCCTAAAGTGGCTGGAGAGGACCTGGAGGCTACGTGGAAGGCCTTCCCTGGGCTGGGGGTGCAACACGCCTTTGCTTCCTTGCATTCAGTGAGTTTGCTGTGGTTGGGGTGGTTAGCAAGAGCCAGGCCCTTGGTGAGTCTCAAGTCACATGTTGGTCTCGTCCCTTATCTCACAAAAGCGTGTGTGCGTGGGGAAAGGGACCATCCAGTCCCGGAGCCATAGACCTGCCGTAATAATTCAGAAGAATGCACTGGGCTAAGATGTTCGTTGACCTGGAGGAAGTCTGGGAAAATTAGGGAAGACTGGAAACCACAGGTGTTGAAGGCCATTGAAACGGGAACAATTGCCTGAGCTTTTGAGAGGGAACCTGGAGCTTCCAGGCCTGGGCTGTGATTTGCTTCAAAGAGCCCCCTCCCCTTGTTTCCGGAATCTCACTGGGGCTGGGGCCTCAGTCCTGCAGGTTAAGCAGGAGAGGAGATGTGGGAGAGAGGAGGAAGAGAATGCGAGGGCAGCTGCCGAGCCCATGTGGTTGGGAAGCCTGTGGCCTCCTTTAGAGCAGGTTGACGGGAGAAAAGTCATCGGCAGCAGTTTAAGCCAGGCTCTGTCATCAAGTGGGTGTGGCATTTGGCGAAGTTGTGATGCAGGAGTGTTGGGGTCAGCTCTCCTGGGAGGGGGACAGTGGAGGGGAGACAGAGCAGATGTGTGGACAGAGGTAGGGTGACGGTGGATGCCGCTCACCTCCATGGGCATCAGAGAGATGGCACTGCAGATCCTGCCATCCAGGCGGCCTCACGTAGTGAACCACCCGGAGGAGCGTTGTTTTCCCAATAGTCCGTGGGGAGAAGAGTGGGAAGGACATTTGGGGCAAGTTGATGATGTAGAGGTTTCATCTTAGGGAAGAGATGAGGGGCGTGGCGTGTGTGAGACAAGCAAGAGGAGAACACCCCTAAGTGGACAGATGTGACACCTGTCCCACCCAGGGGGTCTGAAGAGGGGGCAGCCCCGGGTGCCTTGCCTGAGAGCCCCGGTGGGTCCCTTGCAGTTTCCCGAGGTCGTGCCCCTTAACATCGGAGGGGCCCACTTCACCACACGCCTGTCCACCCTGCGTCGCTACGAAGACACCATGCTGGCGGCCATGTTCAGCGGGCGGCATTACATCCCCACGGACTCCGAGGGCCGGTACTTCATCGACCGAGATGGCACACACTTTGGGTATGTCTTTCCTTCTCCAGTTAGCTGGGTAGTCCTGGCAAGCGAACAGCCCAGGCTTGTGTGGCTGGGTCCCGGGCGTTGCATTAAATCAGCTTTTTCGGACAGGCATTGGGGTGAAGCAGGTGAAGCCACTACACGGAACACCCTCATCCCATATGGGAGGGCCTGGTTCAAACCCCAGATGCTCTGTGCTTCAGATCCAGCTCCCTGCTGATGTCCTGGGGGGCACGTTGGCCCAAGTCCTTGAGTTCCCACCATCCGTGTTCCTAACTTCAGTCTGACCTTGGCTGTTGTAACTCCCTGGGGAATAAATCAAAGGGTGGATGAACTCTCACTCTGCCTCTCCCTCTCTCTGTCACTCTGCCTTGTGGATAAACGCATACGTCTTTACAAAATAAATACATAAAATAGAAAATCCCTGAGAAGAGTTACTTCGGAAGGAGGAAAGCACATTTTTGCTCAGTTTTGGAGGTTCGCGGTCTAAGTTCAGGCGGCCCGTTTGGTTGAGGGGTCTGATGAGGTCGGAGGAATGCGGATAGATGATTCCAACCCAAACCAGGAAGTCAGAGAGACGCTCAGCCGAAGTCAGCTTAGAACATTCACCCCGTGTGTGAACTGCCTCCTAAATGCAGCTCCAGTGGCCTAAGAGTGTTCTCTCTGGATAATGTCATTGAACCGTAATTGTATCACGTATCCGCCCTTAATCCAGTGGCCCTTAAATCCATCAACATAAGAGTTTGAGGACCAGACCTTTAATACATGGGCCTTTGGGGGGTGCCCCTACTGTTAGCTAACCAATCTGGCATAGTACGTCGAAGAAGAAGTGACATACTGATTGAAATGAATGATTATGTTTTTTTGAGTTGAATTGGAATTCTTGATTTCTTTGCCAGAGAAACTACGGGCGGCCAGACACATTCCGGATGTCACACCCAGGTCAGGTGTGATGCGATCTCTGAGTCTCGGACCTGGAGAGTTGTCTTCTGTGTGGACAGGAGTAGATGTGATATCACGAGAGGCAGGGAAACCTGAGACAGCTGCTCCAGGAACACCTTCGGATCCAGACCCCAGAGCCTGGCGTCGGTGTGTGGGGTAGCTTCCCAGCTTCTCCCAGTCTTTTAAAATAACACCACAAGGGCTGGCGGTGTGTGATGCTCTGCCTACAATGCTGACAGTCGGTAGAGGAGCACTGGTTTAATTCCCAGCTGCTCCAGCACTGGTTCACATCCAGCTCCCTGCCTGTGCTCCTGGGGAGACAGCCAAAGATAGCCTAAGTGCTTGGCCCCTGCTACCCACGTGGAAGACCTGGATGGAGCTCCAGGCTCCTGGCTTCAGCCTGGCCCAGCACTGGCGTTGCAGCCATTTGGGAAGTGGAGGATATTTCTGTTTCTCACTATGTCACTTTGCTTTTCAAATAAGTAAAATTCTAAGAAAAAAAAAAAGGAAGTTCCTATTGTTATTTTCATTTTCACATTAACACGTACAACAACTCAATCTTTAAAAACAGAGAGACCTTCTCAAGCTCAGGTGTCTGACAACATCACTTGAAATGTATAGGCTTTGTATCTCAGTTTCCTTGTTTGTGAGATGAAAAATAATTACAGCTGTTTTGCAGACCTGTTCCTGAAGGTTGGAGACTTGGGCCTCAGGCTAGGTGCCTGTCAGAGTGCTAGGTGACTTCAGACAATTCATAGGAAATGGAGTTAAAAGATACATTTATTTTTATTCCAAAAATTTGATGCCATTGACTGTTTCTTCTTCTTTTTAATTACTTTATTTTGATAATCGACGTATTGATTAGGGCACAAAGGGCCAAGGGCTACAGGAAAGTGGGTAAGACCATTGTTTCCACATTATTGGCTTTTTTTTTTTTTCTGTATCTGGCGGGAGAGGGACCATAAAGGGAGAAACCTCACCCAGCCTCCCACCCATCCCAGGGTCCCTGATGTGGGACATTGACTTTTTTCGTAACACGTTTTTCATCAACTTTTAAAATATCTCTCAAATACATGATTTCAAAACAATTTTTTTGCACTAAATTGAACTTACCTTTAAATTCCATTTCCCACAAACTTTTGGAATTATTCTCGTATATGGCCAGAACTTTTCTCCTCTTTCAATCTGACTTCGGAGATATTTGGAGAACTGACATGACCTTGACTCTGCACCAAATGACCAAGAAGGCAGAAACTCTCAAATTACTCCTTGTCTGCACTGACCTTCAACTCTGATTGCCCACGCTGTGGGAAGGGTCACTTTGATCCTCAGAAAAGGAACTTCTGGGCAAATTATTTGTTTCCGAAGCATCTGGGTTTCCCCAGTGGATTGTCAGCTGCTTCCAGTGCTGAGAAAACAAAGTGTGACATGGCTCGGCAGAACTATAAAAAGCTTTTTGTTTGCAAGCTGTTTGGGGAGGAACGTGCTGGCCCCAGCTGGCAGCACTGTGAGTGGGGCCTTGCCCCAGGGTTGTGTTTTTCAGAGCTCACCTGGGTTCACTGAAGATCCCGGAGGACCAGTTTTAGAAGCAGGGCAGGATTTGACTTGAAGCTGATTCGCTGTGCCCAGGTGGGCACCTGGGCCTGTGGCAGAAAGCAGGTGGTGGTGCCATTTGTGATTGGACTGCTCAACCACAGCGACCTAGGATTCCTCAGTGGCAGGTGATGTTGAAGAAACTCCTGTAAGATGGGGCTCCGGGCACTTTCTGGGATATATCATTTTTGGTTGGTTCCACTCATACTCTCCCTGCACCCCGATGGAGGCTGCTTGGGTCCCCCTCTGGAGCAGTTCCCCGACTACATTCAGCGTACCGTGCTATGGTCTCATGTGTGGGCCACTGTGGATGTGACTGTACAGTCAACCACACCTGGACATAAGCTTCTAGCTGCTGCAACTGAAGGATGTTCCTGAGCCTGTCTGGGCCCCACTTGAGCCTCATCTATAAAATGGAGATGAGCTAGTGCCCACCTCAGTGTTACTGAAAGGTTAAATGGGCTAACACAACAATATCAGCTGGTAACGTACTAATGAGGTAACAGCTTAATCCGGGGTTTATTTACTCTCTCCCCATACCTACTGTGATGGATCTCATTACTCTTAGCACTGAAAACTCTAAATGGGCAATTAGAAAAAACTCGATTTGTATTTTATTTGTTTATTTGAAAGGCAGAGTTACAGAGAAGACAGGTAGAGAGCTTCCATCTGCTGTTCACCTTCCAAGTGTCTGTAATGACCAAGACTGTGCCAGGTTGAAGCTGGGAGCCTGGAGCTTCATCCAGGTGTCCGCCATAGGTGACAGGGACCCAAGCATTTGAGCCTTCTTCCACTGACTTTCCAGGCACATTAGTAGACGGCCAGGATTCGAACCAGTGCTCACATGGGATGCTGGTGTAGCAGCTGATCGTTTAACGCACTCCATCACGACACCAGCCATGTATGATATTATTCAGTCTTAGAAGCGATTTGTTGAAACACTAGGGTTAGTGCATTAATTTGGTTTTTGTTACTGTTCTAGAATAACTCAGTCAAGATCACTTATAAGAGGCTTACCTAACCCACAGTTTCAGAGACTGGAAGTTCAGAATCAACTAGCCAGCATCGAGGCAGACATGTGGGGGTGATCCAAAAATCACATTGCAAAACATGAAGCCAAACAGCCTCTCGGAGAAAAGGGGGCACTCTTGTAGCGGTTGCTCTCGTGAGAGCTGAAATTGGGGTGCGCCCATGAGAACCGTCTTAATCCTGTTAGAGGGTCACTTCCCACCAGTCTCACCTCTTAAAGGTTCCAAAACCTCCTCCCATGGCCAGATTTGGGCTCAAGCTTGTCAGATGTCAACCCTGCGGGGCTGGACTCGAACCACAGCAGCCTAGAATGTGAAACAACTCAAAACTCTTACACATGGCTGGGTGGGAGTGTAACAGCTGCAGCCCCCCCTTCACCATGCGCTTCCTCAGAGACAACACTGCCTGGTGTTTACCCAGGGGAGGTTGCCCTTGTATCTGCAGAAGGCCTTGGGTAGGAACTTCTGATGCAGCCTCACCTTCAATGGCCCCAAACTGGGAACAACCACGGTGTCCACCGACAGGAGAGCCAGAATGCAAATTCTAATCTGTTCACACAACAGTCTGCTGTCTCTATGCTAAATCATAAGCAGGAAGTATTGTTCCACACATCCCATTAGATGAATCTTGAAAATATTCTGCTGGCAAAAAGAAGCCATATGCAACAACGCACTCTGTGATTCTGTTTCAAGGAGCTTCCAAAGATTCACGGGAAGGACATGTTACTCTTTAATGCCACACCACACACGCGTTCTGGAGCATCCCTTGTATGTGAATTTCAAGTGAAGGCACAGCTAATGGCTGCTGACAGCAGGAGAAGGTGGAGCAGCTGTCTGTTAAGGAGTTGCCTGGCAGGGGCCGAAGGAAACCTTAAAGAGTTAAAAATGGGGGGTGGGGTAGGGAAATGGCACTGTGGTACTGCCAGTTAAATGCCACATCTCGTGTCAGAGCATCCGCTCGAGTTGCAATGGTTCTACTTCCAGTTCCCTGCTAATATGCCTGGGAAGGGAGCAGATGCGTGTTTTGTCCCCTGCTTCCCACATGGAGAACTCCGATGGAGTTCCTGGCCCAGCTCAAGCTCCTAGAGGCTCTGGGGGCGGGAAGGAGTAGGTGGAAGAGCTCTCTGTTACTCTTCCTTTCATATAAATAAGTAAATAAATCAAGAGCAAACATGTTTTTAAAGCCTTGTCTTCCAAAATGGATGGACATATTCTATATCTTTTTTTAAAGATGTATTTATTTTTATTTATTAGAAAGGCAGATTTGCAGAGAGAAGGACAGACAGAAAGATCTTCAATCCACTGGTTCACTCCCCCAAGTGGCTACAACGTGCAGAGCTGAGCTGATCCGAAGTCAGGAGTTTCTTCCAGGTATCCCATGGGGGGGCGGGGTGCAGGATCCCGAGGTTTTGGACCATCTTCTGCTGCTTTCCCAGGCTGTAAGCAAGGAGCTGGAATGGAAGTGGAACAGCTGGGACATGAACCAGCATCCATATAGGGTCCTGGTACATTCAAGGAGAGGATTTAGCCACTGAGTCATTGTGCTGAGCCCTGTATATCTTTTTTTTTTTTTTTTAAGCAGAGAGAAGGAGACACCAAGAGAGAGCTTCCTTCCAGTGGTTCACTTCCCAAATGGCAGCAGTTGGTGGAATTAGGCTAATCTGAGGCCAAGAGTCTAAAGTTTCTTCTAAGTCTCCCACATGAGTGCAGGGGCTCAAGGATTTGAGCCATCCTCCACTGCTTTCTCAGGCCGTAAGCAGGGAGTTAAATCAGAAGTGGCATAGCCAGGGCATAAGTTGGTGCCTATATGTGGGATGCTTAGCCTATTATATCAGAGTACCAACCCAAAAGTTTTCTCTAGTTGATTTAGGTGGTGGTTGTGTGGGTAAATTTACTTCAAATAATTGAGCTGTGCAGTTAAGATTGGTATATTTATTGAATATTAATAACAACTCAAAGTACATATTCTAACTTATCTTTTTGTTATAAGTAGTGAATAGCAATAACATCTAATATTACTGAATAATAATTATACTGATTGTAGCATCTAGCAACATTTATTAAGGGTTTACTCTGTGCTAAGTATTTCTCAGCACTCTATTTGTTTGAAAGGCAGAGTAGCAGAGAGAGAAGATTTGAGAGAGATATCTTCCATCTACTGGCTCATTCCTGAAATAGCCACAGCAGCCAGGCCTGGGTCAAGCTGAAGCCAGGAGCCCAGAACTCCATCTGGGCCTCCTGTGTAAATGAGAGGGGCCCCAAACACTTGAGCCGTTGTCTGCTGCTTTCTCAGGCTCATTAGCAGGAAGTGAGAGCTGAAGCAGAGCGGCTGGCACTCAAACCAGCCCTCCACAAGGGATGATGCTGGCATTGCAAGTGGGGTACGTGAACCCTAAGACAGAATGGTCAGGTTCATTTGCTTGAGATTATGCAGCTGGCCATTGAGTTCCAGATTCTGCGCTGTCACAGCCCTGGCACATCTCAGATCCGTTTGTTCCTCCTCACTCTTTCTCTTCTCCTTCCTACCCAGAGATGTGCTTAACTTCCTGCGCTCGGGGGACCTGCCTCCCCGGGAACGGGTGCGGGCTGTGCACAAGGAGGCCCAGTACTATGCCATCGGGCCCCTGCTGGAGCAGCTCGAAAACATGCAACCGCTGAAGGGTGAGAAGGTGCGCCAGGCGTTTCTGGGACTCATGCCCTATTACAAAGGTGAGGGGTCAGCAGCCCAGGACACTGGTGGAGTTCTGGGGGGACACGGGGCAGGCACGAAGCACCTGTAGTGTTCAGACCAGACCAAATGGGCCCAAGGTTCATTCAGGTCACCCGAGGTGGGAGAGAACATCCGCCTCCCTACTCACATCAGGAAGATGTGGGTTGAGGTGTCCCACTTTGCTCACGATGACCAGCAAGTCAGAGCATTTTAAGATTTAGTTATGCACTTGAAACACAGAGTCACAGTGTGAGAGAGAGACAGACAGAGACCTTGTATCCACTGGTTCAACCTGCAAGCAGAAGCAATGGCCGGGGCTGGACCAAGCCAGAGCCAAGAACCAGGAGCTTCCTCGGGGTCTCCCACAGGGGTGAAGGGACCCAAGCACACGGGTCTTTCTCCACTGCTTCCCCGGGACCACAAGCAGGGAGCTGGATCACAAGTAGAGCAGCCAGGACTCGAACCAGTACATATATGGGATGCTAACGTCACGGGTGACAGCTTTACGCACATACCCTGCCGCGGTGCCAGCTCCTGAGGATTTCCCTGTGCCATTTCTCACCCCACTGACAGGTGCTCTGTGTTTGCTCCCACATAGATCATCTGGAGCGGATTGTGGAGATTGCCCGGCTGCGGGCGGTACAGCGAAAGGCCCGCTTCGCCAAACTCAAGGTCTGTGTCTTCAAGGAGGAGATGCCCATCACCCCTTATGAGTGCCCGTTGCTCAACTCGCTGCGCTTTGAGCGGAGTGAGAGTGACGGGCAGCTCTTTGAGCACCACTGCGAAGTGGATGTGTCGTTCGGGCCCTGGGAGGCTGTGGCGGATGTGTACGACCTGTTGCACTGCCTAGTCACAGACCTCTCGGCCCAGGGCCTCACTGTGGACCATCAGTGCATTGGGGTGTGCGACAAACACCTCGTCAACCACTACTACTGCAAGCGCCCCATATATGAGTTTAAGATCACATGGTGGTGAGTAGCCTTGGGAGGCTGCAGAGTCCCTCCTGGTGACCCTGGGATGGCGATGCCTGGAGCGGTTGCCCACTGACCCGGAACCTGTCAAGGCAAGAACCTGTCGAGGAGCCCCGGGACGCGGCTCCAAGGGGACAGAGGAACAGCTCCGGCCAGCGTGGTCGCACTTCAGATCCTGCCCAGGGCTCATAGCCCACAGGAGGCTTGGGGCCTGCGCTCACCTGGCCTTCCCTTGAGGCTTGGAAGCTTTTATCCGAGGCCAGGGGAGTGTGGGCAGGTCTTGGCCAGGAAGTCCAGAGCAATCTCGTCACCTTCTTGATCTTGTAAGAGACTTTCTGTCCTTTCTACAGCCACAAACTGATGCACCTGTCAGCATTCCCTCTGGTGGGACAAATGTGCAACATGATTGGGGGGCATGTCACCCCAGAAGCCCCCACCTCCCCGCCCCCCCACTGAAGCATAAAGAGCATGGGCCCAGTGCAGGCCCATCCCCTTAACGTTAATCCCCTGTGTTCGTTGTCTTAGGATGTGGTCAGACTTCTTTTCCTTCTAGAACACAATCTTCACCCTTCTGGAGACTTCAGCGTAGTTGCCAAAGCCATGTACCAGATTGGCCTTAGCAAACCACAATGTTTACAGCCCTGCCTCAGGGCCTCAGCTTCTCCTCCCTTCCGTCCAGGTCCCTCGCTGGCAGTGTTAGCTGCTCCCAGGGCTGGGACACCAGTCCCAGCTCCCACGGACTCCTTTTCAAAGACTTCCCCCAAGTCCAGCAGGCAAGATGCCCGGACCTTCTGTTCTCTTTGGAGAGGCACAGGGCGTCCCCAGGGCTACCGTCTCACGTGTCAGGATCCAGTCTGTGGTGAGCTTCATGGAAAGGAACCCTTCCCTGCCATGTGAAGCTCAGGTGGGTTAACCCTGCAAACTTTGTCTTCATGGAAGTCAGTGTGTCCCCAGGAAGTGAGGGCAAGACTGTCCCTAGGAATACAGCAGCGAAGCTCTGTGTGCTTTACCTGCCCTGCCCCTCCACCCCACCCATTTCGGAGAGAGAGAAAATTGCACAGCGATCCTTAGGTCATTGCTGCTGTGTCTGCAGCCCGAGGCAGTTTGTCAGGCTATGGGCCTGCGTGTAGAGAACCTGCTCGCAGCAATCCTGGTGTTCCGTGCTGCATTTAAGAACTGCCCTCTGTACTCGTGACTGAACTTGACTGCTCCCAAAGAGTTCTTGAAGGTGGTTTTTGTTTTTTGTTTTGTTTTGTTTTGCTTGTTTGTTTTTATATGTAAAGAACTTGATAAAGATAATGTCATTGGTCTCAATTTTATGGTTGGGCAAGAAGAGACTTAATGCAGCCCTGTCCTTCTGAAGATGACAAGGCCTGGCTGTGGGACCCTGGCTGGAGAGCAGTGGCCTCATGGACCCCTGGATGGAAAGAGAGATTCCAGGACATGGCCTGACCCCTCCGATAGCAGCCTCATGAGAGCAGGACAGAGGTGGAAACAGGTCCAAGAGGAAGGGGCTGTAGTACCTGTTCCAAGAGACATGGTCTGTCTCCAGTTTTCTTGCAGAGTTGGATGGTTTATTTTCAGGAGCAGCAGTGTCCCTGCTCTGATGTTAGCCCTCCAGTACAGCTCTTGGGTTTATGTTGCTTTAATTGGTGCCACCTGCTGCCTGACACGCGTTCCCAAGGCCTAGTGAGGCGATTCAAGGGGAATCCGAGGCAAGCAGAGATAATGAGGCCCAGTGCTTTCAGTAATCTGGCCGTGGTCCCATCTCCTTTCCATCTCGCTGCAGGGTAGCACAGGGCTTGACGACCGAATCTGTCCCTACAAGACAAAGAGAAACATGTTTGCAAGTTTGCTTAAACACAGGCACCGGCTTGCTCTTGCTCTTGGCATCAAGAGATGCCGTGTTTCTCTGCTCCCCTGGGTTTTCCTTATGGTGCTGTCTTCTCCGTGGTCGGGAGACAAGGGGCCAGGAGGGAGTCGGAGAGGGCAGCTGAGGACTGTCCCTAAGGAAGTAAAGGAACGCCCTCTAAGAGGAACCACCGCAGAATGTCCTCTCGAGAGCCACTGTATGATGAGGAACCTCTGCAGAATGGAAATGGTAAGGTGGTTTGCGGTAATGGTCTCCAAACAAAGAGGTCATCCCTGCATTCATCATTTTCCCAGGGTGATCCTTTTCCAGCTCCAAACAGACTAGGCCTGCAGCATGCAAGGGGCTATCTTCCAATGGAATCCTTGTGTGTTCGTAAGATCCCTCTTATCTTGACAAAGAACCAGATCCACCCTGTTCTGACACAGGCCAGGGGTTATCTGTGAGTTGAACTGAAGGCCCTGCCTTGGAACCTTTTGTTTAGCTTTGGGCACCTTTTTTCTTAGGGACCACGCTGCCTGGTTGAGAAGATGAAAGTTCCAGGAGATGAGACCTTGTGGCTCAATGCTAGCCAAAATCTCCAATAACAACAACAACAACAATAATAAGAGATCTGATGACCACACGCACACACACACACACACGCAGAGTTGAAATAAAACCACACCACATGACTTCCCAGGGAGAGGAATTCTGGCAATGCCCTGAATAGAAGAAAGGAATCCTCATCATCACCCCACTCTACCTCTGCTGTGTTCATTCACCGGGCTTCCCATGCAGAAAACAGTTCTCCATACTCCGGAAGTTCCTCTTCTTAGCTTTCTCTGGGAGCTTAGCATACTCTAGAAGCTGTGTGAACCTCACACCTCAGATGATGAGGTGATGGCATCTCATTATGGCTGCTCTCTAGGGGACCAGGAAACAGACATTTGCAAGACAGGGAGTGGGTTGAGCTTCAATGTGGCTTGGATCTAAGCTGAGTCCCAAAGAGATTCCATCAAACAAGAGCAAAGCAAAGACTACTCACTTTGAGCATTTTGAGGCCAGTAAGAGTCGTGGATACCAGCTTCTTGCATACTCTGTCCACTTCACCAAGGCATGAAGGTGCCTGTCGCACGGTCCTTAGAAGAGTGGCCTATCCTACCTGAGACTGGAGAGTTGGGGAGGGGCCAGGGGAGGGAGCAAAGCTGTGCTTTAGAATTCTAGGTGAAGTATATACGTGAATGTGTTTATATGTGTTAAGTTGGGGAGGGGCGGGTTGGCAGAGGGTTGCAGGAGGTAGGAGCAAAGATTGGGTGCGGGGACGGGCAGCCGATTGTGGAGTGGCAGAGCCCGCTGGGTCCACGGTCTTCCTCTGGATGCTGTGGGTGTTGACGCAGGATAACCTTCCTGTGTTTGTTCATGAGCCCGTCTGTAGGTCCTCTAGCACTCTCACGTGGCATTAAAGTCAAGAACCAGAATGAGGCTACCTGGCTTTGCGCTCATCCCTTCCCTGCCTTGGGTTTGGTCAGCAAATAGGTCCCAACTTCTGCTGCACTGGACCAAACAGGTTGCTCCCCGAGGCAGGGAGCCGAGCTCCTGCCCTGACTTCACCTTGAAGGTAAGCCTGCCAAGGCACCAGTGGAGTTGCCCCAGCCTTGTCTCTGTCCTAGGTAGGAGTGTTAGGAGTGTGTCCTCCTGCCCAGCCTGGGCACACAGCCCTGTCCTGCTCTGCTCAGAGCTCCCCCGAGGAAAGGAGAGTCCCCGGCTGCATTGTCCTCACTTGCACATCTCCCACCGTGCCCAGGAACTGCATGGCCAATCCCTGCTGTCCAGTCCGCACTTGTCTTTCAAGAGGGAGAGTTGGGGCTCTAAACATATGTGGGAACCTCAGGGACTAATACACATCCCAGAGGAAAACAGAGGTAGGTTGCCCTTCTCACCAAGGTGTGCCCTGGAGCCCCTTCACAGAGGAAGCCAGAGAAGTGGGTTCTGAAGTGCTGAGGAGCCACGCAGCCACCACCTGGGGGCTTCCCTCCCATCTGTCATCGTTTGGACTCAGAAGCACGCACTTCCCTGGTAGCAGCACACTGCCAGGAGCAGAGGACACAGCCTCAGAGAGGCGACCTTGCTCCTGGAGCACGGGCAGATGAGTGACATAGCCTTTCCTTCTCCCAGGCAGCTCCAGGCTCTTCCCTCACCTGGCTCTGGGCTTCCCTCGGCCTGACCGGAGAAGACGTGAGAGAAGCGGATGCTCTGGAAAGGTGGCTTAGAAAGCCTCCCTTAGGAGCTTCTGGCTGTTAAGAAGATAGATGGGGTCCCCAGTTGACTGACTGTATTAGTGAAGGGAGCAAGTCCTCTCCCCGCGGGGCCCTGTGGGGAGGATGCTAAAGCAGATGAGGACAGTCCCTGGGCTGGGCGCTGGATGTGGCAGGATGACCTGGGAGAGCGCAAGTCAGACTCCAGCAGCCCTCAGCACTGCCTGCACCGCCCAGCCTGGCACACTGTGGCCACGTGGGAAAATGTGCAAGGCGCAAGGGCTTCTGAAGGTGCACCTGACATCCATCGGAGAGGAACGATGGCCTGAGGCTCCTGAGCTTGAGGACTTCGTGTGCCTGACCTGGGGCTCCTGCTCTTGGACTCCAGGTGTCTGCCCTGTCTTTGTGACAATGACCTTGCTGGCTTAGCTGTAAGTCTGATTGCTTGAACTTAGAGCATGTCTCTACTTTTTCTTTACTTACCTTTAATGTTCTAGTCGTTCATTCATCCTTTTTTGGTTTTTCTTATCACATACTATAGCTTAATTTCTGTCATCCAGAATGGGTTTTCCCTGGTTTTTTTTTTTTTTTTTTGAGATTTGTTTTTATTGGAAAGTCAGATACACAGAGAGGAGGAGAGACAGAGAGGAAAATCTTCCATCTGATGATTCATTCCCCAAGTGACCACAATGGCCGGAGCTGCACCAATCTGAAGTGAGGAGCTGGGAGCTTCTCCCACGTGGGTGCAGGGTCCCAAGGCTTTGGGCCATCCTCGACTGCTTTCCCAGGCCACAAGCAGAGAGTTGGATGGGAAGTGGGGCCACTGGGGCACGAATCAGCATTCTATGGGATCTCAGCATGTGCAAGGAAAGGACTTTAGCCACTAGGCTACTGCACTGGCCCATCTAAAATGCAGCTTTAAAGTTTCTTTCTTTCTTTTTTTTTTTTAAAGGATTCCTTGCTCTTTTTTTTAAAAAAGATTTATTTTATTTTTATTGGAAAGGCGGATATACAGAGAGGAGAGACAGAGAGGAAGGTCTTCCGTCCGAAGATTCACTCCCCAAGTGAGCACAACGGCCGATGCTGTGCCGATCCGAAGCCAGGAGCCTCTTCCTGGTCTCCCACGCGGGTGCAGGGTCCCAAAGCCTTGGGCCGTCCTGGATTGCTTTCCTGGGCCACAGGCAGGGAGCTGGAAGGGAAGCGGGGCCACCAGGATTAGAACCGGCGCTCATATGGGATCCCGGGCGTGCAAGGTGAGGACCTTAACCACTGTGCCACCGTGCTGGGCCCTAAGGTTTATTTCTAACCTCTGATTAAAATGTGTGTGAATAGGATGCTAGTGCAACTAGTGCTTGTTCCGAGCACGTGGAATCAGTATGCTTTTCTTCTCCAGGCATCTTTACCATGATTGTATCGACTGCGAGTCAGGCAGCCTCATTCTTCCTTAGATGAACCCTGGATGTGAGAACTGTTACCATAAAATCATGAGTCTGGGTTATTATCTAGTAGGTCTGATGGCCAAACTTTACTTCCTCTTTCAGAATGTGCTTGCCACACACACACACACACACACACACACACACACACACACACACACACACACACACATAGAACAAGAGCAGGCCTGGGAACAAGGCAGATCAATTCCCTGACTGCCAAGACCTTTGTCCCTGCTGTGTTTATTCCTCTCGAGGAGTGACATCATGTAGAGTTCCTAGGAGTCCTCCTCCTTCCTCGGAACACTTGGCACCAAGCCCAAACTGGACTTGTTTACAGGGAGAAAACCCAGCTGCTGTGGGAAAGGTTTGGGGCCATCCAGGAATGCGCCGTGGACAGAGGCCTGTCATCAGGTCCAAGGTCACAACGTACCTTCTACAGTCAGCTCTGGCTGCCTCAGCCTGGTTGACCCTGCAACAAGCCATGATATCCTGGAGGATTCTCCTGTTTTGTGGACCCCGATCTGGGTGTGTGCACTGTATCATGTGATCCTAACAGGTGGTGTCTGACCCTGCAGTTGTCAGGAATGGAGATATCCATGTTTCAGTTATTACTGAACTCAAGGGACAGAGGGGCTGTTGTTGTTGTACCAGAGGCTAAGCTACCAATCTAAGCTCCTTGTTGGTGCACCTGGGAAGGCAACAGAAATGGCCCAATCACCTGGGTCCCTGTCACACATGTGGGAGATGAGGATGGAGTTCTTGACGCCTGGCTTCAGCCTGGCTCGGACCTGGCTGTCATGGAAATCTGGGGAGTGAAGATATGTGAAAAATCTCTCAGTGTCTTCTTATATCCCTAACTCAGCCATTCAAACACATAAATGAACAAATAAGTCTTAAAAACACATACAGGTCCTACCACGGTGGCCTAGCGGCTAAAGTCCTCGCCTTGTACCGCTAGGATCCCATATGGGTCCCGGTTCTAATCCTGGAGGTCCCACTTTCCATCCGGCTCTCTGCTTGTGGCCTGGGAAGGCAGTCGAAGATGGCCCAAAGCCTTGGGACCCTGCACCTGGCGTGGGAGACTTGGAAAAGCTCCTGGCTTTGGATTGGCTCAGCTCCGACTGTTGCGGTCACTTGGGGAGTGAATCTTTGGACAGAAGATCTTCCTCTCTGTCTCTCCTGCCCTCTCTATATATCTGACTTTCCAGTAAAAAGAAATAAATCTTTAAAAAAATACATTAACACACAAAGATTTATAGCCTCAAAGTACCACAAAACTAGGAGTTTACCTCCACTAAGATAAATGCACAAGTTTAGTCCAGGTGAAGAAATCTTCATCCCTTGGATTTTTTTTTTTTTTTTGTAAAGAGAAGTTTAAAAAGTTTGTGGGGCCCGGCGCGGTGGCGCAAGTGGTTAAGTCCTCGCCTAGCACGCCCGGGATCCCATATGGGCGCCGGTTCTAATCCCGGCAGCCCCGCTTCCCTTCCAGCTCCCTGCCTGTGGCCTGGGAAAGCAGTCGAGGACGGCCCAAAGCTTTGGGAACCTGCACCCGCGTGGGAGACCCGGAAGAGGCTCCTGGCTTCGGATCGGCATAGTATCGACCCGTTGCGGC